CTCGCACCCCCCAGTAGAGCACCACGACAAGCCACTGCCATCTGGCTCCAAGGACTGATCTACTCTTGCTTCCAACATCCAACGCCAGGAGAGAAGCCAGGGGTCCTGAGCAACTTTAAAAACTCCCTGGTCTCCCGGCTCCTGGCTGATGCCCGCTCAGTGCTGGGAGGCCGCAGTGCCCGAGACACACTGGCTGCCCTCGGGAACTGACCACAGAGATCCTAGAGACGCTTCTGAAGAGGGCTTCCCTGGTGTCTGCAATGGGGCAAGCCCAGGACCCCCTGGCCCGCTTTCTGGATGCTGCTAAGGACTTTGCACAGGAGCTGCTGACCCTGCCCAGCCTGATGGAGCTCCGAGGTCTGCTGCGGAGGCCCAAAGGGATAGCTGGGCCCCTAGAGCTGATGTCAGAAGCCCCGTGCAGTGACAAGGGGCCTAGCAGCCCAGGTGGCCTCTCCCTCAATTGGTATGACGCCAGCCAACTAAGCGACTTCCTGGAGCCTGAGCTGGTGCCTACCCTGCCTGATAGCAGCCTCAGCCCTGCCTGCTCTGAGTTAATGGGAGCACTGGATGACCACCAACTATCACACCAAAATGGAGGGGCCGGAGCATTGACTAGAAGACATCTTTCCTCGATTCGGGATGCCTCAGGTAATAGGGTCAGATAATGGACCGGCCTTCGTCTCCCAGGTAAGTCAGAAAGTGGCCAGGTTGTTGGGAATTGATTGGAAATTACATTGTGCTTACAGACCCCAGAGGTCAGGCCAGGTAGAAAGAATGAATAGAACAATTAAAGAGGCTTTAACTAAATTTTCGCTAGCAACTGGCACTAAAGACTGGGTGACTCTACTGCCCTTGGCATTATACCGGGCCAGGAACACTCCTGGGCCCAGTGGGTTAACTCCGTTTGAAATCCTGTATGGGACCCCTCCCCCTGCAGTTTCCTTCTTAGACCCGGATATCTCTAACTTTGTTGATTCACCTTCCCTCTTTGCTCACCTGAAGGCACTCCAGCTGGCTCACCAGGAGATCTGGAAGCCCCTAGCTGCAGCCTATCAGGATGCTATTGACACTCCTATTGCACCCCACCCCTTCCAGCCCGGGGACGCTGTCTGGGTCCGGAGGCATCAGACTCGGAGCCTAGAACCACGCTGGAAAGGACCATACACCGTCCTCCTCACCACACCTACAGCTCTTAAGGTCCACGCCTCCCACGTTAAGGCAGCCAATCCAGCTCACCAAGAACTCTCAAGAGAAGGACAATGGCAGCTGACGCGGACTACCAACCCCCTAAAGATAAGACTGGTCAAAGAAAAATGTTAATCATGTTACTCTGGGTACATCTATTTACTTGTGGGTTTGCTCACAGTAATGAGAGCCCCCATAGAGCTGTGCCAACCACCTGGCAAGTAGTCAATCAAATGGGCATTGTGGTATTTGAAGTCCGTAAGACAGCACCAAAAGATACTTGGTGGCCCACATTATATCCAGATTTGTGCAAGCTAGCTTTAGGGGTACCAGAGCCTTGGGACTTAGAAGGAACCCATGACACTGTAACGGTACCCAAAGTGACGAGTCCTCCCGGGAGACTGGGACTGGACCCATGGGGAGGATGTGGGCCTCCTGAACACCGGGCCATGTTGC